TGTTATCATAAGAGAGCTATAGCTTGAAGCATGTTGGTGAGGCCTACATGCTCCACCTGAGTTAAAACAGATGTGTGAGCTAGGACTTTTCTACACAAAGACACTTAGGAAAGCTAGTTTATGTTAGACAGCGGTATAAAGCTAGAGTCGATTAGATAAGCTAACTGTTTTAATTTAGTCCAGATTAAAGTAATTAATTCAAAAAAGTTAATCCATTTCCATGTAGGCAAGCCTGAGGTTCTACTCCTCATCCTTTCACTTAAAAAAAATTCTTTCCTCAATTTCCTCACCTATAAAAATTGAAGTAATAATACATACCTTTATAATGAACTTGGTGTCATATAGATATAATAGGATCTATTTCAGTTTCTGATTTCCTGTAGAGCTCAACTTGTAATTTTGGATGCTATGATTAACTGTGGAGAAAATGCTGAGGTCATAAACAGCACTGTGAGGCTTCAAACGAGGGACCAGAGCAGGGGTAAGTCTCCTGCCTGGACTCTTCGTTGCTCCAGGGAAGCAGAAAACTGCAGTGGACTTGCTTATGCTTATAACAGTGTAACAGCATGTTACACTGGCATTACATGCTGGCATTACATTACATTTGCTGGCATTACATTACATTTGCTGGCATTACATGACTTCAGGGCTGGCTGGGAAATTGTATGAACTGACCAGGGAGTTTCTTCCTTCTTTGGATAGGAAACAATGGTGCAAAAAGATGCCTAAGACTCCCTTCTATTTTTCTGTCCTTGATCAAAATAATGAAAGATTACTAAGCTTCTCTTGTTGAGCTACAGCATAAAACTAACACCGGGACACCAGTGACAGCATAGATAAAACATACAGAAAGTGGACTGAAGTGAGACTCTACAAGGCACAAGAACCTACCAGCACTGCTCACCCTGGGGGCAGGCAGCCTGACCTGGTCCAGAACAAGGTCTCTTCTCGGCAGCTAGAGCGCTCAGCAGCCAGTGTACGCCGCCAAACAAGGCACTCGTGACGCTACTGAGAAGCTAATGCTCAGCAGGATTTCTTACTAGTAATAGAGGACCGCTAGGTACTTTGAAAAAGGCTGGTTTGGATACACTTACATAGTTGTCAGCTTTAGTTTTCCACTTGTGTCAGAATACAATGATAGTATTGATGACTAAGTACCTAGCACGTTTTTGCTTTCAGTGTTGTCTGACTCTTTAGATGAAAACTTGCTTATTTCTTCAAATGTAGGAGATGGTTGAGGACTTCTTGCTCGGTTTGAAAAGCATCCAAAAGTCAAACCGCTTAGTCGCTGACCTTCTCCGGGTTTTTGTGAAGTAACCGATTTCTTGCTTGTGGCTTCTAAAGAGTAATAATTCAGAAATCCAGTGTTAATAGGTTATGGCAAGCTATGTTACTAGCCTCCTTTACACTGCAGTGTAAAGTTCTTTTCTTTTCATATAACTAAAATTTAACAGAGAGATAATTAAAAAATTTATTTTAGGAATAATCATCTAGCTGATACATCCCCATATCCAAAGAAACCCAGAGCTAAAGTTCCAGTTCTTAAAGGTCGATTTTCTAGTATAGAAAAAAAGAAGCAATTTCATTTAACAACTTTATTACAATAACATATAAAATATGCATTTAATACAGAGTGAAAACATGGTGAAAATGCCCAATTTCTTTCTGCTGTGTCTGATATTAAGCCTATAGATTGGTCTAGTATATACAATATGAGAAAGACTCTAGAACAATAGTATTAAAATATGTGATGGACTTTCCTTCAGATAAAAAGAGATGCAACAGCAAATACAAAGGAATAAATTACCAGGCTTGGAAGACATACATCTAGGACTTCAAGAGAAACTGAAAGAACAGATTAACTGCCCCCAGAGCATGCAATCTCCCCTAAGAACAGCTATTCTACCAGAAGCTGACAGGTGGCAGTGCTGTTTACCCCTATTTTTAAAAGGTTCTGTGGCAGACCCAGGAACAAAAGCTCTCATCCTTGCCTGCAAACTGTTTAAAACAGTAATTAAAGGATTCAAAAGAGAGTAGAATAGGAAGGTACCTAAATGATCATAATCACGGCCTCTGCAAATGGTATTCAATTTCTTAATATTTCTGAGCGTATCAATAAACGTGTGATGAAAACCAGTTAACATATTCTTCTTCTCAAAAAGCCTTGGAATAGATCTCTCAGAAAAGGATGACTAAAGAAGTACTGAAGAGTAAAGATTTGGTATTGATCAAAAAATAATGAAGAAGTAAAACACAGCTTCTTCATTAACAGAGAGATGCATCTTAGTTAAAAAGCTTCATGTTGTGTATGTTTTGTGTATATATATATATATATACACACACATA